AGTCTCTAAACTAGGTAAGCCTAACATAAACTGAAATAGCATTGATATTTGCCAACTTTAAATTCAATAACTCTTAACAATTTACAATTCCCAAAACCGGTGGTACAAATCACAAGCCTATCTAAGAGTAATTTCACAAAATAATACATCACTGCCCCGAAACAAAGGAGCAAATTGAAGTAAATACAAATGAAGGTGACTCTGAGACCTGCGAACGCTATAGCAGACCTTGAGTCTCCACCGCGACGACCCGCACAGATACTATCAATCCACCTGGATCTATACACGAAAATATATAGAAGTGTAGTATGAGCACACCACGGCGGTGCCCAGTAAATATCAAGACTAACCTCGGTGGGTAGTGACGAGGAACAGTTAGGACACCTACTGGTCAAATAAAATGAACAGGATATGATAATAAAACATCAAGATAAAGATAACAAAGTAATATCAACCACGGAGAGAAAATCCAAGTACAAACAGTATAATCAATAAAGGGAGAACACGGATAGTAACAAACGGAAATCAAGTACATCAGATAACCCAAGCAATTCAACACTGATGTAACAGAGACGGAGACAAGTAAGAATGTATCCAATTAAAGAAAATAATGTCAACTCAATCAATCACATCATGTTTAATACACCATCGCAACCATTTCAATCCTCGATTTCTCATATCATAATCTCAACTTTCGAACTTTCAGCACATATGGCACCTCGTGCCCACATATTTTCTATCTCACTCTTAACAACAAAATCCATATGATATACAATACAAAATGTCCTTACAAATGCACTTAAGATGTTCAAAAAGTCCTATTTACATAATATAAATTAAATTTCAATTTCTAAATAAGTTTGGAAAATCGGCGAGAAAAGATGAAGTTATTTTTAGAAATCATTTGAGTAAGAAAGTACCCCTTTCAATTTAAAATACAACATCGGAAGAATTATTACCTTTAACAGGGGAGTTGATAATTTAAAACTTAGTAGAAATTCTTTTTTAAGAAAAATACAACCTCATACGATTTAAGGGGATATAATTGAGAAACTAATTGAATTAAGGATGTAACAATTATTGAAGTTTGNGGCAGAAAGTGCACGGCATCACCCTTCGTGCTTTTACTTTCGTTCTCACCATAAGAATCAATATTCACTTTTATTCTTTATTGTTGCGGCGTGCAACCCGATCCCAATCATATATTACTGTTGCGACATGCAACCCGATCCAAATCATACAATGATGTTGCAGCGTGCAACCCGCTCCATATCATATTGTTGCGGCGTGCAACCCGATCCATATAATATTGTTGCGGCGTGCAACCCGATCCATATAATATTGTTGCGGCGTGCAACCCGATCCTCATATACAAATCAACACCAATCACGAAAGTATCCCGACAAGGGAATAATAAGGAAACAACAATATCCCGGCAAGAGAGTCAACAACAAGAATAAACACGTCTCGGCAAGGGAACCAACAGTAAGAATTAAATATGTCCTGGCAAGGGAATCCGCTATAACCAAACTTGTACCAACAATTTACTTCACAATAAAACCTCAACTACACAACAAGACATAATAAGCACGTGATAATTACACTGGCAACCACAACAATTGGACATGTAACCTATTTGCACGAAGTCATAGAGGAACTCACAACCAAGAAGTATCAAAATAATAAGGAAGACAATCACTTAAATTAAGGCAATTTAGGGTCAATGTAACGCGTAAGAATTAGAGGAAAGCTAACAACGTCATATGGAGCATAAAGAGCCAATTTAGGCAACTAGGAAACCTAATCATAACAGGATACTTTCCACATAAGGACCTAAGAACCCTAGAGGCAAATTTTCCACAAATAAGTTCGAGCACACACACTCTTCACCTCGCATGCATGGACTACAATTAGCATAAAAGACTCAATTCCTAAGGGAAAGTCCTCCACACAAGTTTAGGCAAGATACTTACCTTTTTGAAGTTAGACCGATATTCTAAAATAGCCTTCTTGCTTGAATTGACCTTCGAACGGCTCAAATCTAGCCAAATTAATTGTAGAACTTCATTAAAATACATTGGAAATAATTCCAGATAATAAAATGTCGACTTGAAATTCGCATTAAAAGTCAACCAAAAGTCAACTCCCCAGGCCCGCACCTCGAAACCCGACAAAATTTACAAAAATCGAATACCCATTCCGATACGAGTTCACCCATACAAAAGTTATCCAATTCCAATACCATTTGGTCCTTCAAATCATCATTTTACATTTTTGAAAGATTTCACAAATTTTCCCAAATTCCATCCCAAATCACGAATCAAATGATGAATTCAATGATAGATTCATGTATTCTAGCCAAATCCGAGTTAGAATCACTTACCCCGATGAATTTCTTGAAAAACCTTCCAAAAATCACCTCAAATCAAGCTCTCTAGGTCAAAATATAAAATAAAACCTCAAACCTCGTATTATAATGTACCTTCCGGATTCCCTCACTGTTGACCGCACAAAACCAGTGCTGACCGCGGTGGAGCACCGCGGACCACACAAAAACCAGTGTTGTCCGCGGTAAATTTGACTGCAGTGATAGGCTTTAATATTTTGGCCATAACTTTCGCTACAAATGTTCAAATGTCTATTATAATATGTTTTTGAAAACTTGTTTCAACGAGCTACAACTTTCGTGTTTGAATCATCTCCAAATTCCTTGTAGATAAAAGGATATGAGCTTCCGAAGCCGGACCAACGATCTTGCGGAACATTTTGGGGTGCGGCCACATACCATTTAGTGCGGTCCGCACACCATTTAGTGCGGTCCGCACTCCCCTCTGCAATATGCATATTTTTGATGCGGTCCGCACTCCCCTCTGCAATATGCATATTTTTGATGCGGTCCGCACTCCCAAAAGTGCCAGACCCATCTTAGAGTTCCGAAATGCCCGGACTCGCTCGAAATTCACCACGAAACACACATAAGGCCCTCGAGATCTCAACCAAATGTACCAACACATCCCATAACATCATCAAAATTTAGTCAAGCCTTCGAATTACTCCAAACAAAACCAAAACACCAAATCCACTTTGTGTTCAAGCCTAAGGACTTAGGAACTTTCAAATTCCACAAACAACGCCGAAATCTATCAAATCAAGTCCGATTGACCCCAAATTTTGCACACAAGTCATAAATGACATAATGGAGCTATTCCAACTTCTTGAGTCGGATTTTGATCTCGATATCAAAAAGTTAACCCCTCGGTCAAACTTCCAAAATACGACTTCTCGTTTTCGCCATTTCAAGCCTAATTAAACTACAAATTTTCAAATAATTTTCTAGGCACGCTCCTAAATCCAAACTCACCATACGGAGCTACTGGAATCATCAAAAATCCATTCCAGATTTGTTTACTCATATTTCACCTTCCGGTCAATTTAATTCAACTTAAGCTCTCTTCTTGGAGACTAAGTGTCTCAATTCCTTTCAAAAACCTTTCCTAACCCGAACCAATTTCCCCGGCAAGTTATATAAGAACCGTGAAGCATTAATTTAGCAATATATGGGGAGACGAGGTTATACTTATTCAAAACGATCGGTCGGGTCATTACAATTATACTATAATCGAGCGATGTTGTTGATAGAGAGTTGAATCTAACTCAAAATCGATGAAGAATCCACTAAGAATCGGTCTCAATGCAGTTTATTATGGTTTATTAGGTTATGAAAAAGGGATTTGGGTGAAAAATCGATTAAGTGAGGCAAAACAAAATGGGGGTAAAGTAAAATGGGTCGATTTTTTATCTGACCTAGAGAAATAAACACTTGTCAGCATTTTATTTGTAACTTATTCCACACTGGAAGCGTTTAAAAACACGCACTTAAGTTTTTACAGCTCGGTCATGTTTTGTGTTTAATACGTATAGACAAAATACAGTCGAAGTGTTCAATAGGAAATGCGTTAAGTTAAAGTGTCAAAATGAAAACTAGAGCCAAGTTTAAGGGGTCGTACACCTATTTGGCCAAAAGGAAATAAGTTCACATAAATTGAAACCGAGAGAATATTATACTCTTTAACCTATTAATTTTATATTCCCTCCGTTCATTTTTACTTGTCCACTATACTAAAAATATATTTTCACTTTTATTTGTCAATTTTAGCAAATCAAAAGAAAACCAATTTTTTTTCATATTTTACCCTTATCATTAATTACTCATTTCACAAATCATTTTCCAAGACTTCTCAAAATACTATCATTATTATGGATACTGCTGTAAAATATGCATTTAATCTATTATTTCTTAAGGGTGTGCGAAGTTCATTGTGAACAAGTACAAGTGAATGGAGAGTAAAAATTTACTTAACAAACTGGTGTTCTCGAATCGCTCAAGGCCCATAGCGCAACCGATTACGTTAAAGATCTCATATAAGTAAAACTCAATCAGTCAGCTTTGTCCTTTTTGTAATTTCAACCATACGTGCACGGATTTTCGAATTTACATTTGTGGAGAAACTATCGCATCCAAAGTAGAAAGGACAAATGGGTTTAAGAACAAATCCAGAAGTCGAAGAAGAATTATAGTGTTGCTGAAGTGGATGCAAAGGCAACTGGTTTACATGCTTTATGCCGAAGAAAGTAGCTCTCTTGCTTTATTTTTCTGTAAACTTTTACCAATGTTTTTCTAGGTGTATACTATATGTAATTCAAAAGCTGTAGGTGTAATTCTTGGCTAAAAGCTGTACTGACCCTGAACAACAACAACAACAACTACGCCTCATATTCAAACAAATTAGGGTCGGCTATATAAATCATCACTTCTTCATTTAAGTTCAACTCATATCATCATACTAAATAAAATAAAAGTGAAAAATACAGTATAGACTCTGAAGTTTCTACAAAATTTGGTTGACCAGCCACTACCATGGGTAGTTGCAACCCTTAGGGTCCATTTTGAACAATCCTTAAGAACACACATGAAAGTAAGGATATACAGAAAGAATAGATGAAATCAACAGTGTTCCAAAAATGTGAAATTTCCTTATAATCTTGTACAATTTTATAAACAACGTAATGAATTAAGCACATTTCAGGAAGACAACAGTCTAACGCGGTAAAGTTGAAAGCTCAAATCAATCTAAGACATTTATCTCCCTGTACAATACAGCGCGAATTTAACCGTGCATTTTGGAAAAGAAGCGGGACACTGAAAAATAGATATAGAAATGTGAAATGAAGAGTGTCACAGTTTCAAATTAAGATCAGGTAATGATGAATCTGTCCTAGGTGGTGGAGCCATTGCTACAAAATTAATATTGGAACTCTGACCTGAGTTGAACCCCACATTGCCACCAACTCCCTCAACTTGGCGGAAACTACCAGGCCAAAACATCTCCACTTCATCATCCTCCATGTATACTGGCAACCCGAAATAGCCCTGTTCAAATCTTGCCCCGCCTCTAATAGCATGCATATGCCTTTCTTGTTGTGAGGCTCGCTGGTGCATAGACGCATGAGCTTCAATGCCAAGAGATCGATATGCAGACCCGTGAAGGGGCAGCGATGCCAAGCTAGCATACCTCTCTGATAGCATTCCCATCCGCATTGCCCTCTTTGCCAGAGTCCTCTCCCTCTTATGTGCATTCTGATGTCCTCCCAAAGCCTGCGAACTATAAAACTTGCGCCTACAAAAATTGCATGAGAAGATCCTTGATACCGGTGCAGCTGGAGGATGCGGCACTACTTCACTTCCAGTCTCAGCATGTTCCTTCACCTCGGCATCACTGCTGTTGAAGCCAAGAGTCAAGTCAAGAGTAACTGGTTTTGACTCCTGCTGAAGATTAAGGGAGTTAGTCAGACAGGATGAATTAGTAGTGCTGTCCTTATAAGGATCAGGAGAGATTTCTTGGGCGGAAATGTTGGAGGAGGCAACTTGGCTGCTGCTGACTTCAGACTCGTCTTCCGATTCAAGATTGAAATTTGGGGACTTCATGTTGCTTGCAAAAGATTTGATGACGACTTCCGGTCCTTGATTAACCTGCAGGTAGAGTGAAGTAAATGATATTCTGAATGACAAAATACTCTCCCCTGCCTACAAGTATAAAGGTATGAACAATAAAAGCTTAAAAGTCTAAAATGAAATCATATAAATCAGCAATCAGCACATGAATAATATGAGCTACAGTTCACTAGGAAGTTTATATATCTTATAGGTCATTAGCTCCTTTACTAGAAAAGGATGCATAAAGCTCATCAATCTCTTTGTTAGATTATCAATTCACTGATTAAACAGGAAAGTGATTATGTATGCTCATATCACACATTAGTCTGAGTGGAGTTCATAGTTGCATACAAGAGAGTATTTGCAAGGTATTCTGGATTATATATAACGTGATCAGGTTCCATGCTCGGACAAACAAAACAACTCAATGAAAAAGAATCACTAAGCTACACTATATCCACTTGCTTTGTGCTACTCAAGAAATTAGATGGACAACACTTTGTAAATTTGTTGTTTTAAGAATAACAACTCCTCATCTTCTTGGAGATTTAAGCCAAGTTGGAGGTCTAGTAGCAGGCACAAGAATAAAACACGACATCCCAGAATTTGTGTTGACTAATGAGATCAGGTCTAAATTATGATGGCATTCTTGGGGCTTTTCTTTTCTTTGTTTTTGAATATTTAAAAAAATAAAATAAACAATACTGGGAAGAAGAGCAAAGAAGCAACAGGAGGACATAATTTGACTAGATTATTCTCTTTTGATGCTCAATGTAAATCGGAAAATTTCTACAGGTTTTTTCTTAAAACAATAGGGTAATTGATAATACAAAGAAAGAATTTAAAACCTTCTATTCTTGACTAGATATCTTCAGAAAGGCTAAGGAAATTTCAGAGATTAACATGCAAAACCTTTACTGTCTGAATTGACTTGTTCAATCCAACCAAGTTTGTTTTCCTTTGGGTTGGATCTAATCGAATACATATAATAAGCTCAAGATAACTGTATCAGAGTTCAAAATTAGGTACAAAAGGAATTTAAAGAAAGAAAAAAAAAACACAGTAGTCCAGTGTAATTCATATTTCCCTTTTATTGGATATTGCTAAAAACAGAATTGCACCCATACCTTGCTTATAGTAAAAGAAAAAAAACAAGCTGGAAGCTACTAATAGTGGTTAACATACTAAAACTCTAAAGATCCCAAATAATTAAATCACATAAACAAAAACCAAACTACAAACTAGAAGCAGCACTTACACATCCAGAAAAGCACACAAAGTTCAAAATTTTACAAACAAATAATACTAATACTATTGATATAAAACCCAAAACAATTAGACACAACCACAACTGTTAGATCATTTTCAAGAAAGAGAGCTGGAAAAAGAAGTGGAATAGCATACCTTAAACTTAGAAGGTTGAGCTAGAGTAGTAGTAGTGACATGACAGACAGAGTTGAAGGTATTTTAGTTTTTACTAAATATGGTGAGGGAAGAATATAAGAGATAACAGAAAAAAGATGGAGATAAGATCATTAGACAGAGAGAGAGAGAAAAGAAGTGGTGGGACGTCAGAGCAAGTCAGAAAAGAAAGCAGCTACACAAGAGTTCGCGAAACTTCTAAAATAAACTTATTCTAACAAATACTTTTCTCAAAAGTATTTTTAAAAAAAGTGCGCTAATTAATTTAAAAAGTATTTTTGAGTAGCAATTAGTATTTGGCAATACTTTAAAAAATTGTTTCTAAGTATATTTTTCTCAAAAATACTTATTAAAAAAGTGTTTTTGAAGAGAAACTACTTTTTTCTGTTTCTCCAAAACTACTTTTGCTTCTCCTCAAAAATATTTTTTTTCCTTCCAAAAGCTTGGCCAAACACCTACTTTTAACAAAAAAAAAAAATACTTTTAACGAAAAAAAAAATTGGCCAAACATGCTGGCTAAGTGAGGAAGGGAAGCACAAAGATAACCATACACTATTTTTGTTGCTCATAAAGCATAGCTAAAAAAGGAGCATTTAACAATAAGACGAAGGAAAGAGGGTGGGGGTGGGTGGGGTGAACAGAGTATAGTATAGAAAAATAAAGTGGACAATAGGAGTACAAGTCCCCACTAAAAGAAAGAAGAAAACTGAATCCTACTAACGAGTTAAAAGGGGCGTAAGATTCTTTTCTTCACTTTTCTCATTCTACCTCTAAAACTGGCCTTTCAGCCACTTGAATGGAAACCCATAACATCCCCCATCCCCCACCTCTGTCCTCTTCTATCTTTATATTTATTTTTTTATTTTTTTTGGGAATAGTAGGGTGGAGGAGAGAATTGGTATCACCGGACTAAAAATCTTGATAGTTTCTATTCCTCATGTATAACATACTTTTAGGAGGTTTAAGTAACAGCTTATTTGGATGGTTGTTACGTATCGTTTCATAATGTGTCACACCTCCTTTTTACAGCCCCGCGGGGGTGCAAGGAATTTTTTAAATTAATTGTGCATTAATTGTTATTTGGAGTTAATTTGCGCTTTTATAACTTAATTTAGTTCTTAATAATAGTTTAAGTATTTTTATAATTTAGTTTTAGAAAAATAAAAGAAGAAAAGAGAGCAAAATATAAAGAAAGTCGGAATTGGGCCTCTTCTTCGATTTCAAGCCACAGGCCCAATATGACCAATAAAGAGTCAACTATAACAAATCAATTAATCACACTCAACCAAAATATAGCCAATATGACCAATTTCTACACAAATTTAAACAACAAATCACATGAACATGATTTATTCAACATTTCAACAACAAATCATATGAACACAAATTGAACAACAAAGAACAACTAAAATTTGATTGAACAATATTTTTAGCAACAAACAAATCTATTTTCAGATTCAAAAACAACAATCAAACAAGTATATTTAGATTTCTAAATTCAATAATATTGAACTTAAAATCAACTCTAACAACATTACAACAAACAATTCTTATATTAAACTTTAAACAAGATTATGAGATAATTTCAAGAAATAATCATAAATGGTAAACAAGAATTCAAGCTATACAAATTTCGGATTCAAGATCAAACAAACAAAGTATGAACATGAATGAAATCTATTTTAAACAACAAACATGATGGATTCAAACGATTAAATCAATATATTTCCCTTAACACAACTAAATTCTTTTAGACAAATAACAAGATCGACGAAGAAACAATTATGAACTTAAGCTTGAACTTAACAATATTAACAATTTCTAAAAATACATAAACACATGAAACAAATTGAAGAAACAATTAATTAAACTTCAATTTGTATCTCACCAACATTAGACTAACAACTATTTACCTAAACAATAATACAAACATGAAATAAACATGAAAAATAACTAATTAAACTTCCATTTAAAATCTGAAAATTAATTCAATCAAAACACATGAACAAACTAAAAATTAATTCAAACGATAGACAAACAAAGCAAAGCTCGAACATTTATCGACTTTTACTTCGAAAAAATATAAAAACGAAATATGGACAAAATAAAACTCAAAATCTACTCACCGGATTGAAACGAAATACGTACTAACCAACGACGAACTCGACTAGGTGGGGACTGTTTTGACGAGCCTCGACCGAAGCTCGAACAAATGACGACGAAGACGAAGAGAAGATGAAACAGCCCGCAGCCGGCCATGAAACGCGAGCAGCAGTGACAGTAGCCATGGCGTCGTCTGCGGGGAAGGAGAAGCAGCGTGAAGCAGAAGCTTGCAGCCAGCAGCAATGGCGAGGAGCTGGAGCGGCAGCAGCAACGACGGGGAGCTGGAGCCGCAGCCTTGCACAATTGAAGCAAGTTCGAGCAGTAGCAACGACAACNGAAGGCGGAGGAAGCAGCTGGTCGTCTACTGCTGCTGCGTTCAGCAGCTATGGAAAAAATGGAACAGCAGTTCGGGAAGCCATGGACGACGCAGAGGCAACAAGAAGAAGCAACAAACATGGTGTTATGGCCATGGCGATGGGTCGACGACGAAGACGCAGCTTATATTAAACAACTATATCACAACTTTAACAAATCAATTAGAAACAGATGGGTTAGTATTTTTTAGGGTTTTTTTTTTTTTTTTTTTTTTTTTT